CCTTTGTGGCCTTTAACATAAACTAATAATGAATAAATAATTGTATAATTAGTCATTCAATATTTACGTCTCCTCTGAGAATAGGAGCTTTGTTAAGGGCAGCTTAGAGCACAGAGTCTTAAGGAAACATTCAATAAACATTGGTTGTATGGATGAATGAATAGTACAAAAGAGAACGTGAATCCCCATTTGATCATCTCTTCATAAATGCAAATGTCTACCTCTGCAAATGGAAGATACTTTACCTAGTAATACAATGGAGACACTAAAAATCATGCCAAATTAGGATAAAAATTACATAACAGCATTAACGTTATCAAGTTATAATCAATCAGAAAGGAAGGCAGTGAAGAGAAGGAGTAAACTGGTCATTTGAGAATGCATGTGATCAGTCCTGAAGGAGACTTGGGGAGTCTGGAGACTGGAATTCCAACACCCTCTACTTCAGTTATCTAGGTCTCTGAACATACACCATGTTTCCTATTTCTCTAATTTTTGTAATCTTGAATTTACGGACCTAGGGAATAGGAAAGATAAACTACCTTTAAATTGTGAGCTACTTTTTAATTTTAGGGCTAATGTCCTAGATTTTGAGATCCTTTCAACTAGATTTTGAGATCTAAGAAGAGACAGAAACTGTCTCATATTTGTTTTCTTCTCACTAATTAATACCCACTAATGGGCCTAATACAATAAATTCACTTTATTTTGTAGAGCCCTCTTCAAGAAATACTGAATAAAAAAAAGTGATTTATGATATAAACATACGTGTCTTGTCAATATGATTTCACCTTCCTTGGTACACTCTTAGTTGCTTGGGATTCTGAACAATACATTTACATTTATTACTCTTCACCATTAAGATCATTCTTGCATGATTCTTATTGAAATAAGACCCTATTTTGTACATGTTGATTTCTGTATTCTTTCATCAGGTACTCCATTCAAGATCATATACACAGAAAGCTACTGATACCCAGAAGTGGCAATTTCCTCCTGCGGGAGGAGGGCAAATAAAACTGTGGTGTAAGGTTTATATATATAATACATATAGACATAGCAAATGTACTTATGAAAGAGTTTTACCTTGAAAAAAGTGATAAAAAACTCTATAAACTATGTAATAGTGATTTTGCAAGTTAAAAATTCTAAAATGTATATGATCAGAGAAAAGTGACCAGAAATATGACACATCTTAGCAGTGGTTATGATCCTTGATTACGAGATTACTAGTGATTTTGATGTCTTTCCTTGTATTTTCCAACATCTCCAAAATTTTACAATGAACATGCATTATTTTTATAAATAATAAAATATCTTATCTATTGGATGATTTAGTAGTAGCAGAGAATTTTTGGGTATAAGAAAATAATGCTTTATATTTTTCTAGAAGAGATTGAGTGGGTCCAGCTAATCTGTTGAATATGATTGTTTCAAGGAAAAAAGTAAATGATGAAGAATCAGATAAGCAGGGGAAGTCATATGTTGATTACTTCTCTTTTTTTTTGCAGTCAATTATTTTATGTGCACTAAAGAAAGTAAAACAAGTATCTGAAAATCCTACAGTTTATATTTTAGTCATTTTTTAAATTTACACACATAAACCTCTCTGTGTATTAATAGTAGAGTGATTAAATAGTAATTTAAAATGTCTTCTTAAATAATTATTTTTCACTTCTTAATAAGTAACAACACCAGTAGGTTATTTATAGGAAGCACAAAAGGAAAAGAGAATTTGAATTTTTGTAAAAAGACATTGCAAATCATTCTCTCCTGCTTAACCAAGACAATCAAAATATTGAGATATTTTCAGCTTCTTGAGTATAAATTTTGTAAAATTATGCCCTTGGCAATCAAAATGTTACCTGGGTGAATTTTTAAAATGGAAATTGGATCAATTAATTTGGTGTTGTAGTCAAAAACAAACAAAAGTGAATCCAGCAACAAATCTATATCAAAAATTGCATAGAGTTATATCAGCTCCCAAATTACTGTAGGGAGTTACCCTGGCTGAAAACTGAAACCTCAGTTCTTCACATTTCCAACATTCATTTATAACCAAAAATTATTCTTTCCAATTCTGTTTTCAAGGCAATCAATCTGGAGTAGAAATGTTGATAATTATATTATTTATATCTAATCACTCTAAAGATATATATTTACACACATATATATGTATATAATATGTTTATTATACACATTACTTTCTAGTATTCTATAATTATTTTGTTAGGCAGAAAAATAGATATGAGTGGGGTGGAGGAAGAATAAGGCCAGTAAAGCCCACTAGAAGGGACTCAACGAGTTAACCAGATAAAACTAGAGAGCCAGAAAGGACTCCCAGAGTTAATGAGTTAATTAGTTGAAAGTAATCAAAGGCCGGGAGTAATTTAGAATGTCCAGATATTCCCTAGATAAATAAAAGTATCTGAGAGCAGCCCATGCTTCAATGCATCAATTAGATCACGCCATTGGAAGATTTACTTTAGCCTGATAATAGGCCCACCTTTATTCTTTAACATAACCTATATGTTGTGTGTTCCCCTTCCTCCAGCCCCTAATCAAGTAACTTTGTAACCAGTCAGAAGACAGACCTCAGAAGTGTAAATAAACCTATGTGGACAAAGAATGCTTAATTCTCAAACCAACACAGTCACCTAAATAACCCTATTCTTAAGACAAAACTTCAAAGAATTATGAATCACCTCTACACACCATGTCTTATGCTGACCCTTACTCAAAAAAACCTATAAAACACCAGACCCTGCACCCTTAAGCGCCTCCTCTCTGAAACTGTCCACTTTCTTTTAGTGTGTCACTCTCTCTGTCCTACTTCAGGTAAGTAGGGAGGGGCTGCTGAGAGCTGATTGGACTTGCAAGTTCCCGTCACCTGGGAGACCCAGACAGGACTGCAGCTGTACAATCATGTTTCTGAGTAGCTGCCTGAAAATCTCTTGTCTTTGCCTTTCAGAAGTTCTCAAAACATAATCTCACTCCATCCTGTGCTCTGTGGCTCCCCCAAATCTGGGGTGCTAGGTACTTAGTTCCCAAGCTGTGTAGATCCTAGTGGACACTGGACACCAGGTGACACTGGCTTCAGGAATTGGCAGGGGATTATGCTCTATGCCAAACATCAGTTCAACATGTTTCCCTTTCCTCCCTCTATTTTTCCTTCCTCTCTGCTTTATTCAAGTAGACCTGCCTTTGTCTACCTTGACGCTGGCCCATTCCTACCTTGGAGTACATTCAAGGAAAACTTTCACTTTGTTTTACTACTGTATCTGTGCCATTCAATTCTTTGTTTCAGTGGGGTCAAGAACTGAGGAAAATAAACTCGATTGCCCAACATTTTTAATAAGTCTTTAATACACTAAGAGAGGAAAAGACAGGGAAGAAAAGAAAGCTTAATTATTGCTAAGATATGCAGTAACATAGTTTAGTAAAAGGGAAACCTTCCTCATAAATACGACGTGACAACCCATATTTACATTTATTGAAATTGAAGCCCCAAAATATTGGATTTGCTTGCAGGTTATAAAAAAATAGTTATTGAATCATGTATCTTTGCACAAAAGGTTGTATTCAGTGATCATGAAGATCTTGCTATGTTAAATACATTACACGTTTTCAATTTAAAATTTTTCTCAAAATAATAGATACAAAGTAAGTAGCTATTATTTCAATGTTTATGCTACATTTGAGGGCTTTAAAATATACATATATATAAGAATTACCATTCAGCATTCCACATTTATCTTTAAGATAACAGTTTGAGAATATGTAAAAGTTGGTGTGAATCAAAGGGTGAAGTCAATATGAGTTGTTCTGCTAGTTTAAAAACTTATAGAAAACTGCAATGGTTAGAATGGAGTCTCTTCCCTTGTATACATACCTCAGAATTAAGTAACTGATGTACTAAAAGATTTGTCAAATACCTATTATGTAACACATAACTTGAATATTTATGGATAAGATTTTTTAGAAGAAACAATTCTGACCTTTTGTAGTCACTGATGGGCAGCATCCGTGACTATTAAACTGATGGAGGAACATGTTTTAGTATGGGCTTTGCTCACATTTACCTTGATCCTTAAATTTTTACTTACTCACTTTACTTTTGTTTATCTTAATTAACACTTAACATTACTCTGAATAACTAATTGAGTATTCAGTAATAGAGTAATAGATATTACTTGATAGAATCTGGACCTGAGTACCACCTTTTGAATAAGCCCACCCACCATCTCAGAGAGACCTAGGTTTCATCTTACTTAGGCTACAAGCATCCTCCAGAGGACACGTCAGCAAGCCACAAGCCCACTTTTTCCCTTGACCCCTCCCTCCCCTCAAAGAGCCCACCAAAGCCCTGGCCATAAAAAGCCTCTTGACCTGTTAGAAACCCTCTTTCCTTTGTTCTGCTGGCCAGGACAGAGGGGGCCCTCTCAGGTTCAGCATTAAACCTGCCTGGACTGTCGAGGTTGCATCCCCTCTCTTCTTTCACTACTTATCAAATTTGAACCTACAGAATAAATGAATGCTAAGTTAAATGATAGAATGTTAACTAGAATCTAACAAATGCAATTTCTGAGCATCTATTGTGATCTCTGTATCATGTTAGTTGCAAAGTTCAATTAGCATCACACGCAACCATGCTCTAAAGAAACTTGGTGGAGCAAGAGAGTGGGTTGGTTTAAAAGATGGTTATGGTGCAGAAGAGCAATCACAGTAAATGAAGGTCATCCTTTAAATAATTATTTCATTGGGAATAATCTATGTGCATAATAAAAAATGATGTATTTTACCAATTCATGAAATAAGGGGGAAGGTGAGTGTGATTCCCTGGAAGACAAAGTGGTATGTGAAATGAACGGAATTTTAAGTGATTTTCCCTTCTTCCATGGAAAAGAGGGTGAGTGTTTTTCTCCAAAGCACAAGGTAGTGGTCTGAGAAAGGCAGCAAAAAAAAGAAGAAGCTGAAAAGGAAGGCAGGGTATAGATTGTGAAGTTTTATGATTGATATAGGGCAGGACCCTGGGACAAGCATCAGAGTTAACTTTTCGGGCCTACGATGAAATATGCTGAGATATAAACAGTATAGTAAGAACAAGAACAATTCTATCTTAAAGCAAAGATTCCATTTTAAAAACCAGGAAGTTAGGAAGTAAGATCCCACACACACTCTAGCAAACAGACAGTAACGCAATCCACCTTGGGGGCAGGGTAGTGGGGTCTTGATTTATATGCTACAACAGAGAAGCTGCAGTCCTGGAGAGGAACTAATTTCTTGTGTTAATTTTGCAGAATTACCTGGACAACTGATAATAGAAAAAACTTAATGTCTTTCACCGGAGATAGTATTTTTGAGACCACTTTATAAGTCTATACCCACTGGCCCTTTGAAAAATGCTTAAAAGACAGAAACCCCAACCTTTCAGTGTGCCTCCCTTCTGAGGACGTCTGCACTTTTTCTCTTAAGTGCGTAACTTAAAATAAAGCTTTCTCACTGCTCAACTTGTGTTTTGTCTCTTTGCACTTTTCCAGTGGTGTCTGTTTTTTTTCTCTTCCATTCTCTTTCTAAATTTTCACTTAGTCTCTTCTTTACTCCTAATAAGTAAGGAGAGGCTGCTGAGATCCCAGATTTGGACCTGCAAGCTCCTGTCATCTGGGTGACCCGGATGGAACTGCAGCTGCAGGAGTCTGCATGAAAATCATTCTTTGCGAAGTTCTCAGAACATAACCTCACTCCATCCCATCATCTGTGGCTTCCCCAAGTCCTGCGGTGGTAGGGGCTAGCCCTACCACGATGCTCCAAGTGGACATGGGAGGCCAAGTGACCCTGGCTTTAAGAGATGGCATGGGAATCTGCCCTATACCAATGTGGGTAAAATTGCAATATTTCCAGAATCTCTCTCCTGGCTTTAGTACATCTCCATATCAACAGGTGTTTCCAGGGGATGGAGAGAAGTAGCCATTTCCATATCAATGGGTATTACTTGGGCAAGAGAGGCTTTATCTGGACCTGAGTGGTTGGGGGTAGTATTTGCTCGCTTCTGCTGTAGCAAAAGAAAGAGAGAGATGTGGGACAACTCCTTGTAAGCAATAAATGGGTTTTAAACTCTATTTCTCCTTTTGACTCATTTTGAATTCAAAGGCATTTTGCCCTGGAATTTCCTCACCCTGGATTCACAACCAAGAAAATGTTCAGCAAATTTTCTCTTTCCCTCTCCAATTTCTTGTTCTCAGATGCCTGCAAGGCAGCTACCATTTTCTGCCACTCTTGCTTTAATAAATTCCTTCCTTACCTACACTCCTCTGACCTGCTTGAGAATTCTTTCTCGTTCAGAGTCAAGAACACTTGCCCGTCCAGGTTGAGGTTTCACCTGGTATTAAGGGAGAGACTGTCCAGACACGGTTGCCAGGCAACATAATCTTAATCAATATAGGCAGTTGCATTTTACTTCTGTGGGTAGGGAAGGAAAATTCAGAGCTATTGAGAATACAATTTCTGTGTGCATCCTGGCTCCACTACATTCTTGCTTTTATTGGTAAAGTCTGAGATGATTTTTATGCCTCACTCAATTCCTTCACCTATAAAATGAGATGCAAAAGTACCAACTTCATAGGAATATTGTGATGCTGAAAGAAAATAATATATGCATAATATTTAGGTTAGTTCCAGGGACATAGTAAACTCCCAACGAATGTGAACTAACATTACTATTTAATGGTTTTAAGCATGGAAGTGAGATTATTAGTTTGCACTCTAGGCACAGTATATTTTTTCTATTGTCATACGAGTATGTTTCTGTATGCTTAAGGTCAATGAGTTTCACACAAATACCCTAGGAATATAAAAATATTAAGTAATGATTTATATGAATTGCCCAACACTTAAGTTTCTGTAGTTTTTTGATTGATTCAAAATGAAGAGCTTCTATATACAGCTAAAAGGTTATTGGCTTTATTGGAAGAAGTCAGGAGACCAGGAACAGGGTTATTAGCTCAAGATAAAAATAGAGAAGTTTATGGATACAAAAACATGTTTCTGGAACTCAGAAACTTAGGCTAAAACCACCTTTAAGTAAACACCATGAAGAGGTGAGAAGTCAATGAGATGACCATAAAAAAAATCTGATTAAGAGAAGAAACTAACTATGATAAAACTATAATGGCCTTATAGGGCTAAGAAGTGAAATGTGTTTGTAGAGATGGGTTACACGTTTTTGTATGTAATATATTCTGTGTTAATAACAATTGAAATTAGAAAAGACAAATATTAATGATATATTTTGGTCAGGAGGTGTTTCTACAATCAATATTTTATGAAATGTTGTGCATAAACTAGTTAGAACAAGAAATTAGCTTAAGAAAAAATATAATTAACCTTAAAATAACTATTCTTTCTCAAAGAATCAATTATGCAATTATCCCAAGGGAGAAAATCATTTTTAGTGATTATAAAAATAAACTCATTGAGACCTAATGTATTCCCTCTGGTAGAGACTGGACAGGAGTACCCGCCTTTTTGAAAAAGCCCACCTGCCATCTCAGAGAGACCTCGGCTTCATCCTACTTAGGCTATAAGCATCCTCCAGACACATCAGCAAGCACAAGCCCACCTTTTCCCTGACCTCTCCCCTCAAAAGCCTGCCAAAAAACCTGGCCATAAAAAGCCTCATAGCCTGTAAGAGATGCCTTCTTTGTTCTGCTGCCAGAACAGAGAGGTCCCTCTCAGGTGTCACAATAAACCTGCTTGGACTGTGGA